AAATATATTATTAATATATTAAATTATATTAATATATTAATAATATATTTAATAAAAATCTCCATCTTCCATGTAAAGACGTTTAACATAAAAATCAGAGAAAAATCTATCACTACATATAACTTGTAAAGGAAAATAATTCCAAGTACGTGAATTATATATAAGTGTTGAAAACTTGCTTTTCCTTCCACGCTAGACGATCGCTTGACATCTTTAAAAGTTTGTTTATCTTCATTGGTGTGTGTATGCAAAATAAAGAAGTAAATGAGATTATTTTTGTATAGAAATTCGTATTAATTAATACAAACGACAGTTAAACAACTTACAGTAATCAGAGTTTTAGTCCCTTCAAAAGTTAGAGGCCATGGAAGGAAGTGAATACTGTCTTAATTGCTGGCTCGCAATTCTCTCTAATTCGTTTAGATCATCGCCGTTGATCGATAGTGGGACCACATCCTACATAAGTATAAGTTATTTGTGACAGTACTTATTTGATTTAGTTTAGAAATATATTTACATATCATGTTTATATGTGGTCGAAGTTGTCCATGGTTATCACTGGTAGAACTATAAGATATAGGGTTCACATTAATGTTGAATTCAAAGTGATTGTAGACTGAGTGACAGCTGTTTATATGTGGTCGAAGTTGTCCATGGTTATCACTGGTAGAACTATAAGATATAGGGTTCACATGAATTGGTAAGTCTGAGGGGTTAAAAATCTGCTTTTGATTCTCGCAGTGGATAGATAACCCATTATGTAGCTTTGATCTTAACAACAAACAAACAAACAAACAAAATACCTTGTTCAATAAAACATTCTATAATCGACAATTAAAAAACATAAGTGCAGAAAAACGACAGAAAAATAACATATTTTTCTCGAAAGTTATGTTTTGTTATATCACAAAGCTAAACAATGGGCTATCTGTGGCGGGCCCGCCACAGAAATGGAGACCCGACATTTAGCGTTAAAAACCCTCGAGCTTACCGCTGAACCACCAAGGACTTGAGGTTCTTGGATAGTTTCTTTGTTTGTTTCAGAGCAAAGCCACATCGGGCTATCTGCTATGTCAACCGCGGGGATTCCAACCCCGGATTTTAGTATTGTAAGTCCATAAACTTACTGCTGTCCCACCGTGAGACAAGTTGTTGGACAGACAAATTTTTTTTCGTAGAAAATTAAAAAAAAGAAAAATACTGGTTGTGTAAAAGTGGGCTGAATTACATATTTGGATGATGGTTGTGTAAAAGTGGGCTGATCAACATATTTGGATTTTACAAATCGCCGAACTGATAAAATCATATCGATTTTATACATTCATTTTGCAAGTCAAGTTACAATTTGCTCTCATTTATTTATAACCAAGTTCAACTGAGGTAGATCAGTTCCGGGAGTACCCCATCACTTAAGCATTATGTAATTCGGTAGTTTGATTTTACAGAACAACTGGAGGAGTTAATCTTTATACAACTCAATACGTAAAGATATGAAACTTACAAGAAGGGTTTCAACTGAGGTAGATCAGTTCCTGGAGTACCCCATCACTTAAGCATTATGTAATTCGGTAGTTTGATTTTACAGAACAACTGGAGGAGTTAATCTTTATACTACTCAATACGTAAAGATATGAAACTTACAACAAGGGTTTCAACTGAGGTAGATCAGTTCCGGGAGTACCCCATCACTTAAGCATTATGTAATTCGGTAGTTTGATTTTACAGAACCACTGGATGAGTTAATCTTTATACTACTCAATACGTAAAGATATGAAACTTACAAGAAGGGTTGTCACAACAAGAGTCTTGTTTTTTAGTGACTGGATAGCCTCTTCATAAGCCTTAGAATAGTTTCCCGTCATGTTGATACCCGCGTGAGGAGTCCATTCTCCGATCTAAGTAAAACCAGTTTTGATTAAAAAATCATATAAAAGGCCAATTCAACGGATACAATATTCGCTTTACATTTCCTGCTCCAGATAAGAAAAACAATTAATTAGAAATGTTAAATATGTTTCTATTGTATAATTTCCAATAAATTTTCCCTAGAATGAGCTTAATATCTCTCAATAAAAACTCCGTTATTCTTGAAATTAAAAACAAAATTCTTGTATATCTTTCAAGATCACGTGTTTGAACTTTAATCTGTGAGAACATAAACATCGCGTCTACTATTTGTCGCAGAGTGAAGAGGAATTAAGAATAAGAAAATAGTTGATGGGGTTAAAGTATGTAATTTCCTATGTAGTTTCGAAATAACGTTCTTGTCTTTTTGTTCTAAGTCAAATCTCAATATAAGCTTAATGTTTAAAGATGTGGCTACGCTGAGATTATTGTATTTATGACTCATGTGTACTTAACTTTATCTTATACATATATATATATATATACGCTCATCTCATGAAATCTTTGAATGCTTTTTAAATGCGTACTTAAACTGATACTATCAAGATATTTTCTGGTTTGTGTCATAATATCATACAATGTTTCAGCTATTAATGAACAAAATGAAGGTATTATTATTCTCTATTTACTGAATAAACACCTACAGACAGTTCTTATTAAAATTAGGACTAATATAAACACAGATATGAACAAATTGCTGAAAAAGGATAAGAATGTATCATGAGGGAATAAATAAATTTATTGAATCTTCTTTATTTTCCTGTGGTATCAGATATCCTGAGAAAATTGATATAATTTGAGACTGAACTTGCATTTTGATTAAAAATCTCAATCTACAAATCCACACTTATGAGTATATATAAGTGTGTGTGTGTGTGTGTGCATGTTGAAAATACCTCTTTTAGCCCTTCTTGGCCTAGCTGAAGAATTTTCAAATTGAAGTCAGAACGAAACCCATACTGATCAAATTTGACGTTTCCTGTAAGGCCGTTGATGTTGATCTAGAAATGAGAGAAGAAATGTAGTTTCTATCATGGATCAAGCAATACGTTTAATAATAGATATCCCCTCACTTCACCGCCCAAAGGATGCCGCCTCACGCTGATTGGCTGCCTCAGGGGGATAGGAAGGGGAGGAGAAAACCATCAAAGATGAAGACGTCATAGTTCCAAAAGTTAGGGACTCATTGCTAGCCCGCCATCACAGGCGGCATTGTTAGGATGCGTTTCTAGGTTAAATCATTTACAATTAAACTATTCTAAAAAGGATGCTTAACACTAAATCATTACTTAATTAAATCAAGTCCTGAAAAAGGATTCTTAACACTAACTCATTAGTTAATTAAAGCACTCATAATTCAATTGTCCTAAAAAGGATGCTTATCATTAAATTATTAATTAAAGTTCCTGTTCTGAAAAGACGATATCTTATTCAATCAAGTGTTTAATGAATTTCCACCCTGATCTACATTCATATCTATTAAGAATGTAATTACATAAAAATGTCAATTAATTACCATTATTTTAATGACTGTACGTTTTAACAAATAAGGACACATTTCTATACTATCCAATTTATAACTTGACATAATATTTTACACATGATACTTTATCTCATGTTTTACAAAGGCAGACTTTCATATATGTATTTATATTTAATTACTATTATTTTAACAACTGTGTATAATATTTTAACAAATATACTGTGACAGTACTTCCACATATGATCAATATCTAGATTTAATTATGATAAAACCATTATTTTGCATATTTTAACATCTGTACTAATACAACTAAAAATAATAAATGAATGACTTATTGTTTATCCGTCCATTTTCTATATAACCGTTGATTACTGGCAAATGAACACAAATCTTGTGAAAGTATGAAATACATAACTTATTTCAATGTTCTGTAGGACACCTACTGTTTCGCTTTCACAAATTATACATATTATAACCAATAATCGCCCTACAACTAAATATAATAAATGAAGGACTTACTGATTACTATTATTTAAAATACTGGAACTTTCAGACTGTCTAAGACACTATTAGGAAATTGCACATAAACAAGTGGCTTAGATTTGGTTGATTATACATGTTGTTTCTCCATTTTCTATTATACATTCACAAAACTAATGAACCTGTATGGAAAATGCATATAGACAGTTATTGTAAGAAGAAAGGATTGTGACAACATGTGATCAAAGACTAGATATGTAAAGCTTTCTTTACAGTACCTTGGATATACTAATTCCACCAACCTTTAACATACAGTTTACAGAATCTGACTCCTGGAAGGTCATTGACAGTTCTGAGTTAACCAAGCCTAGTAAAGGTGTAAAGTAAGCGCTGATTGTGTTGCAATGTAGAAGTAGAGCAGAGTTTAATTAAACCCACCAGTTCGAAGAAATATAAGTAAAGCATGATGAATCACAGATTAAGTGCACGTGGTCACAGGCTACTGACAGGGTTGGTAGAAAAAACCATAGGATATAGAATGACCAAGTTAATTTTGCAATAACTTGTGAGCTAGTTCAAGAACAATAAATTATAAACCAAGTAATTAAAGTTTTTGGTAACATGAATTATACAACTCGGTGTTTGTCATATACTATCATGCATACAAAACACCAGTTACTATCATCATTATATAAAATTAATAATATACTCTACATAAGATTAATATTCACTTTTACAAACCAGCAAATATATTCAATTAGACCATAATTATAATACAATATCTATGCACAATGTATTTAATTATGAACTCTACATACATATACCATATTTTAATTAATTTTATTGAAATTTAAAAGTCAGCAAACGTAGTTCTTTATATATCATTTAAATGATTAATTTATTACTCAGCATACGATTATTACATACTGTGTCCGAAAAAACTATCAGAATAAAATGTAAGTTCTATTCTACTTAAACATGTGACATTTGCAATATATTTAATCTTTACGGGAAAATGTTATTAAAATAAAAATCAATTATAACACACTGTCGCTATCTATGTATTTACAATATACTTAAAATAGATGGTTCACTTTACAAAATTGTAAATATGTAGTGACATATATCAGTTAAATACATTTTTTGTATTTAATTAAACTGTATGTTTCTAAAATGTAATTATCAATGATAAAACATCAATTACTGCATACCATGCCCGACCTACAGCAAATGGTCAGACTGTATTAGTCGGCTTAAAATAAAGTGAAAGTTGTATTCAACTTAAATGTGTGACATTAATTATTATAGCAAATATAATGTTTTTGAAACAGTATATATTTAGACATAACACCTATATAGAAGGGGGCATTGACACACATGACAAAGGTCAATTCTGAGTTGACAAGGTCTATTTTGCAATCCACAGTCGATCTGGGTAGTCGGCCCACCCAGTGGCACAGCGGCATGTCTGCGGACTTACAACGCTAGAAACCGGGTTTCGATACCCGTGGTGGGTAAAGCATAGATAGCCTTTTGCGTACCTTTGTGTTTAATAATAAACAGCAACAAACAACAACTGGATAGTCGACCACATATAAACAGCTGTCACTCAGTCTACAATCACTTTGAATTCAACGCTGAGCCACCGAGGGGCAGTTTAAAAAGGTATTTTGTTTGTTTGTTGTTAAGATCAAAGCTACATAATGGGTTATCTATCCACTGCGAGAATCAAAAGAAAATTTTTAACCTCTCAGACTTACCAGCTGAGCCACCGAGGGGCAGTTTAAAAAAGTATTTTGTTTGTTTGTTGTTAAGATCAAAGCTACATAATGGGTTATCTATCCACTGCGAGACTCACATGCAGATTTTTTACCTCTCAGACTTACCGCTGAGCCACCGAGGGGCAGTTCAAAAAGAGTTTAAGCTTTACATTTATAAATGTGCTTGACATAAAGCAACTTAAGCCAAGTTTGGTTTAAAGGAAAATAAAAATATTTCAACTAGACATTTAATGTTTAAACAAAAATATAAATGGAAATAGCGTCAATAACAAGGGAGATAATAGATATGTAATAGACAATCGTTTTACCTGTGTTGACACTGTAGACCATCTCAGCTTCAGCTGTCATAATAAACAAATAATAGACAATCGTTTTACCTGTGTTGACACTGTAGACCATCTCAGCTTCAGCTGTCATATTAAACAAATAATAGACAATCGTTTTACCTGTGTTGACACTGTAGACCATCTCAGCTTCAGCTGTCATAATAAACAAATAATAGACAATCGTTTTACCTGTGTTGACACTGTAGACCATCTCAGCTTCAGCTGTCATAATAAACAAATAATA